TGTACTAAAGTAGTCTAACAGATGCTCTCACAATAAAAAAAAAAATTATAAACAACTCAAATAAATTGCATCAACAACACAATATAACACAAATTCCTACAATAAAATAAAATAAAAAAAATCATAAAAGTTCAAATAAATTACACCAAACATTTCAGGATAAATTACAAATGTACTCCTTGGGGTTTACTTAAAATACAAATTGTCCCTTGTCATTTTAAAAATTACATCCTGGCCCTTGAAATTTCTAATTTCATAATAAATAACCTATTTTATTAATAAATTATAAAGTTAATTAATAATTTTTAATGATGTCAAAAATTTATTTTAATTAATAATTTAGCTAATTTTATTATTGTATAGGAGATCAATTAGGGATTTCATTTTTTTAATTAATTTTGTTAAATAAAAAATTCTGACAAGAGAGTATTTGTAATTTTTCAAATCACAAGGGCAATTTATATTTTAAACAAACTTTAGAATGTGTTTTTGTAACTCAACATTTTATAACGGGCTTGGCTTTTCTCTTGTCCAAATGTTCAGGCCCGTGAACTCACCACAAATCCCATTCCAATAATTTGAATAGTTTATTTTATTGGGTCTGTGGTATTCTCCCGTCCAAATCTATACCAGTAGCAACCGAACTCTTTTATAATTCTTTATCAAGTTTGTGGGCTTTGCCTAAAATTTGTTCGATCTATGTGAACAAACGCTTTGTATTGGTCTTGAAATTAATCATTGTGTACGTAAGATGTAGTCATTAAAAACACAACAAAAAAAACCTCTTTTATAATTCTCGTAATTCGTGTAACTTTCACCCATGAGATGAGAGTCCTGTTTGTTAGGACTTATTTTCAACTTATTTCAGTTTTTAACTTAAGGCTAGTTTGGCATGTATTAAATAAGCTAAAAAGTCAAAAAGTCACTATCTTATTTAAGTCACATCATCTTATTTAAATCACATCACCTCTCTAACACATCACATCAAACCCAACTCAAACCCAACCCAAACCCACCAATAAGTCAAAAAGTGCACTTTTTTAGGACATCCCAAACCAACCCTAAATTTAAGTTATTTTGGTGTGTTTCGTTTAGCTTAATAGTATAGATTATAGCTCTCGGTAAGCTAAAATTAACTTTTAATCTATACCAGTAGCAACCGAACTCTTTTATAATTCTTTATCAAGTTTGTGGGCTTTGCCTAAAATTTGTTCGATCTATGTGAACAAACGCTTTGTATTGGTCTTGAAATTAATCATTGTGTACGTAAGATGTAGTCATTAAAAACACAACAAAAAAAACCTCTTTTATAATTCTCGTAATTCGTGTAACTTTCACCCATGAGATGAGAGTCCTGTTTGTTAGGACTTATTTTCAACTTATTTCAGCTTTTAGCTTAATTTAAGTTATTTTGGTATGTTTCGTTTAGCTTAATAGTATAGATTATAGCTCTCGGTAAGCTAAAAATTAACTTTTTCTTTGAGTGGGAGAGAAGAAACTTTTTCTTTTTGCTTAATTGCGCAGCTGCCATTTGAGGGCCACAATTACTTAAATACCCTTCACCAATTTGAATTATTACCAAATTGCCACTATATAAACAACAAAAGGTCACTGTTCACTTTAAGAGAGGGAGATAGTTGCGATTTCCGGCGTGAGAAAGATGATTCCTGGTGTGACGATCGGCGATTTTCGGCATTGGGAACCAGAGCTCTCTCTCTCTTTCTCCTTCTCTCCGGTGTTGTGAACCAGAGCTCTCTCCGGCGTTGTGAAACATCACGATGCACCCTAGTGATCTGAAACCCTCAATCTCTTTCTCTCTTTGCAATCAACCTTCTCTCTTTGTGATCTGAAACCCTTTGACTCTCTTCACGATCTGAAACCATCACGATCTGAAACCCTCTCTCTTCGCGACCTAAAACATCACAATCTGAAACCCTCTCTCTCTCTCTCTTCGCGATCAACCCTAGCTCCCTTTGTGTTCTCTCCGATTTTACAGAGGGTGGCCGGCGGTGGCTAGGGCTCTGGCGTTGGTTAGAGTTTGGTATGAATTAATAAATCAAATGATTGTAACGAATTAATAAATTAAAAAAAAACTAAGCAAGTTTTATATCATTAATTTGTATTGTAATGAAAAAAATCACAATTTTTATTTCACAATTATTGATATAAATCGCATAATTGCACAATTTAAATAAAGAAATAAATTGCACAATTTTATTTCAATTAAATAACTTCTATTAAAAGAATTTTATAATATAAAATTCTTTGTTTTTTTTAAAAAAAATAATTGTTGCTAATTGATATTAATGAAAAAAAAATGAGATAATAAAAAAATGAAACAACTTCTATTAAATGAAATTTTAAAAAAATGAAATAACAATTGTTATAATGAAATGAAAACTGAAGAAAGAGAGAGATTAATAGCTATTAATGAAATAACATTATTAACTTCTATTAATTAAATGTTTTTTTTATATTAAAATTGAAGAAAATAAAAAAATAACAATTTTTATATCTTATAAGGGCAAAAAGGACATTACACAACCAAAAATTATTTTACAGCTTATTTAACAAACACTACTTAGTAACTTAAATCTCGAATCCAACAGTTACACCAAACAGATTAACAGCTTCTGATTAAAGTCATAATCTATAATCTGTTAAGTTACAATCTATAATCTGTTTTAACAGTTACACCAAACGGGGCTGGGATATATACCTGGGAGTGGGGACTGAAACAACAAGAATGTTATGCATTATAAAATAAATATTAGAAATTTTTTTATAAAATTAATTGAAAGGTGATTGCACAATACATAACAAAGAGTAAATTATATTGACACCTCCTAAGGTTTTTATTAAATATAGATCCTTTCTCATATTTGAATTACGCTTTTCTTTTGTCAGATAAAAATAACATATTTGACCCTTAGCTTATATATACATAAAATAATAAAATAATATAGATATTTTATTCATGTCAGTTCAAGAAAAATAACAATCATCTTCTTTGGTTAAACTCACACAAAAAATTGAGTTTTTTTTATATATATATTATTTTTGTGTTTTTTTTAATATTTTAAGCAATTTTTTATTTTTTATTTTTTAGATACGCATAATCTAGATATATTTAAGAAGTATAATATTTTGTGGTTTTTTTTTTAAAATTCACCAAATACAAAATAAATAAAAAAATAAAAAATTAAATTCATTATCTTATTTTGTTGTATTCAATGATTTTTTTTATTTATAAATTTTTTGTATAAATTTTATACTTTTTAAATATATTTGGATTAAATTAATCTAATCTAGATATAATAGTGAAAATAAAAATGAAAAGTTATATTTATATATAAAAATTTATACAAAAAATCATAAAAATATTGTGAATGTGATATTGTTGTAAATATAAATCATGTTTATGAGTGTTTTGTTTTAAAGTAAAAGGTCACTATTAAGCTATATCATTGGGTTTGAAAATCCTATATAAAATTTATATTTATATATCATTACAATATGTTCAAGTAAAATTTAATGATTAAAAGTTATAAAATGTAATCATGATATAGGAAAAAGAAATGGTTGGAAAAAAGATAAAATGGTTATTTAAAAAATTTTAAAGCATGACATCAACAATCCAGAAATAATTTGTAATGAGACTATAAACCTCAAAAAAGGAAATATAAAATTTAAAATATGAGGAGAGATTTGAATTAAGGCCAAGTTTGGCGAGCTAAAAAAAAAGCAAAAAGTCAAAAAGTTACTAAAAAAGTTAAAAAGTTATCACTATCTAAGGCTTATTTTGGGAAGATGGTAAAAAGTGACTTTTTGGCTTTTAACCAAGCTTTTGACTTTTTTAGACAAATGATTTGGGAAGTTGGTAAAAAGTGACTTTTGACTTTTTCATTAATATTTGTTTATAATGTTAAATCATAATGAAATGACCAAAGTATCCCTAGCCAATTGAAAAATTACACATTTTTACCCTTTCATTTTCCATCTATGGAGGGTAATTTTGTAATTTTTCTTTTGACTTATAACCAACATCCCAAATCAATTTATGGCAAAAAAAAAGTCACTTTTTGCGTTTTGGCAAAAAGCCAAAACGCCACTTATAACCAACATCCCAAGTTGAGCCTCACTAAAAGTAAAAAATTACGGCTGCACAACTCCCAATCTTAATTTTTTCCTATACACTAATTTATATAATTTTTTAATACATATTTTTTCATAAAAATTCAAAAAATTAACCTAAACATCTATATTTTTTCCTCAATTTTAGTCTAAAAAAATAAAAAATACACTTATTTAGGACACCCTAAACAACCCTTAAATAGAAACTTAGAAAATGTCAATGTCATTTACCTATAATAAAATAATACAAAGGTTTGTTTTGAAAAATAAATTAAAAACTGATTTATTGATTTAAAAAAAAATATATATATATATAAAAAAATAGAGAGATATGATCGTCTTTACCAAAAAAATCAAAAAAAAAAAACTTTTTAGCTTCTTTATCAAAAGAGGCCAAACTAACCTCACTAAAGATTCTTTAGAGTATTTTTTTTCTTAAAATTTTCTAAAGTGATGTATTGTATAATTGAGATTTAATGTTAAAATATTAATTTGACTTGTCATTAAATTTCAACTATATAATACATCACTCTAAAAAACTTTAAAAAAAAAAAATTCTAAACGATCCATGATCAACTAATCCGGAAATAAATAATCTTCTTCGTCATATTGTTGACATAATAAACAATTCACCAAACTTTCTCTCTCTCAAACACTCTTTTCTTTCATTTGTACTTTTGCTTTCTGTCACTTGTAAAAGTTGAATGCTACAAACACTCTGTCCCTTTCTTCTCCACTCGTTTTTTGTGTTTCTCTTTTCATTTTTTATTTATTTTATTTTTCACATTTTATTTTTCTGCTATCCCCTTAATAGCAAAGCTATGTGCTCCTAGCCTCAATAAACTGTACTGTACTCCTCACAGAGAAAGAGAGAGAAAGAAAGAACACCCATTTCTCTATCTCCATTCTTCTCCATTCTCCCTCTCCCCCTCTCTCTCTCTCTCTCTCTCTCTATATATATATATATATATATATATCTGTCTATTTATATATATGGGAAATCACTACATTATCCATGTATTAATGTTGTATGTCTCTTTTGTTCTATCATGTATATCTCTTTTCACTTACTTACACATACACCGTAGCCCCTTTTCACCTCTCTCTCTCTCTCTCTCTCTCTCTCTCTACTGATCTACTATAATGGAATCGGTGTCAGAGAATGAGCGGCTGAGAAGCTCAAGTCAGTCATCTTTTCTCTTGCACTTATCTGCAAAACACTCACTGTGCTTTCCTTCTTTCATTTAGGTTTTTGTGTGTCTATATATTACCTTCTCTCTTTAACCTTTAATCCCTCATTCATAAGCATTTTTGGTGAATTGGGTGCTTTGATTTCTGAGGTATGTTCAATACCCATCTTTTAATTTCACCTATCTCTGAATTTTCTATTCCAATTTCACCATTAGAACTTTACATAGTATTGTTGTTAGGCTTTAGTTTTTCTTGGTTTCCCTACCTTTTTTCTTTTTTTTTTTTTGGGAAAAAGACAAAATAGGATATGATGTTGTGACAACAAACAGCTGAAATTAAGGTAATGCTTCTCTTCAATCACTGGACAAAAGTGCTGATATGCAACTTCCACATCATGTTGTGATTTCTTTTATTTTTCTAGATTAGCACAGGACTTTGACATAATTAGAATATAATTTGTTATGTTGCAATTAATACAATGCATGAAAAAAGCATTTTGATTTTCATGAATTGTTGAGGTAAAAAAAATCATTAATTTATACCCTTTTTTTTGGTGTCCTTTTTCAATCATGGTTTGGTTGAGCTGACAGTAATTATTCAATAGTCGTAAAGCACCAACTCAACACGTTTTTTATGTCTTCAAATTAGCTTGTTTAACTGTGATATCCACTTCAAATTAATTATCTTGTTTAGGGTTGGAGAACCACTTATTTTATCGTTTGTGTTTAATTTCTAATGTGAAAGGGGATGTATTTGATTCGGGGATAATCGAAAAGCCTGTTACTTGATAGTCGTTATCATTTAGATAGAATATAGGTTAATGCCCTTTTGTTCTGCATCAAATGCCTTATTGCAAATTTGGAGGCCTTTTCAAGTTACATAGTAAACGTTACACAAGTTCTCAATTCTCCAAACATGGCCAAATGGAAGCTAATAGCCCTTTTGGTGTTGGGAAAACTTATAGAATGACTAAGAAAAATTTATGTCATCTCTGTGGTTTTAACTTTGTTTTTTTTTAATCAGCAACAAAAGAAGACATTTTATTAAAGAAAAAAATGAAATGCAAAAAGAGGGGACAAGAAGTCCATCAAATAAAAGAGAAAAAAAGAAGAAAATGCATAAAAGAGCAAGCAATCTCATATTCTACAAAATCTCTCCAATCCCTAGAAACTATAAATTTAGATGCCTTAGATTTTGATTTTCCATAAAAATTAAGCCCCGATGAATACCATTCTTGTTTTTATTTTGGCAAATGTGTTAATGGACTAGGTTGAGAAACTTGATACAAAAGTTTTTTGGGCTATATTTGAAGACTACACTTTGGGACTTAGCTAAATTGAAGAAGCAAGACACACTCAACATTGCTTAGAAGTGCAAAGGAAAGGAAATTGCTTTGTGGACTTGATGCTAGGGAGGATGGGTGGACCGGCGGACTGGTCATGTAACAGGATTGAGGATCCTAAGGTCTCTCTCATGGAATCGTCATCTTCGTCTGGATCATCAAAGAGGGCCAAGGCACCAAGTACCACTAGCCATGTAGTTTCGTGCTTAGTTGACGGGTGCAGCTCGGACCTTAGTCAGTGCAGGGAGTATCACCGACGTCATAAGGTTTGTGAGCGCCATTCTAAGACCCCAAAGGTTACAATTGGGGGCCAGGAACAACGGTTCTGTCAACAGTGCAGCCGGTAAGAATGCTAAGCTTTTCAAAGAAACTCTATTAAGCACAATCTAAATTTCCTTTGTTATTAGGATGTTGTAATTGGGATAATTTTGATTTTGAGGAGATAATTGTTCACATACCTAAGTTTTGTATTTTGTTCTATCCTCTGGTTTCATGTGTCTCAATGTAATTATTCTTCCTAGTCAATGTTCAAATATAGTTTTACTTCTATTGATAGGTCACATGGACATCTCATGAGAAATTTATCAGTTTCCCAAGTTTGACACGTTGTTTGACACGAGTCTGACGTGTTTTTCCTAGGCTGGGGGGAGTTTGTTAACTTTTAAATCTCTCTTTTAGGGTTTGTCAAGAAAATGGTAGTGGACTCCCAAAATAAATGATCTTAGACATACATATGCATATCTTTTCCTAATCCTAGGAAAATGAAGAATAATGCTTCGTGGTCCGAATTTGTGTGGCCCGAATGGCTCGAATATATTAAAACGACGTCGTTTTGACGCATTCGAGCCATTAATTTTTGGGCCACCAAGCATTACTGGCAAATGAAATGTATTTAACTCTTTTTTTTGCCTTCTAACTCTTCGACATGGCTCGTTATGGATCCAGCCTACATTCAAAAAAAAAATTAGTAGCCTTAAATTATTTTGCATAGGGCATAGCTGTTCCATAATTTTATGTTCTTTGATACAAATACATGACCCTCTTTTATTATTATTGTTCTGATTGGTTGTTCTATACTATATAGTGTGACTTAAACAGAGTTAAAACTCTGAACTCCACATTAAAAGTTAAGTGAAGAATCCTGAACTATTCCCTTTGATTAATAGACATTTTTAACGGGACAATTTTACTGCTTAATAGACAATTTTCCGTAAATTCTGATTCTCTCTGATTAATAATCTTTTGTTTCCTTTCTTCTTGAAATATTCATTTGCTTTGATGGGCTATTATTCCCTTTGATTCTTAAAGGTGAAACTTTCATTCTGCTTAATCACCTGTTTATAGGTTTCATTCATTGGTAGAGTTTGACGAGGGAAAGCGAAGCTGCAGGAAGCGTCTAGAGGGCCACAACAGGCGCCGGAGAAAGCCTCAGTCAGAATCTCTCTCCAGAAACCCTGGAAGGTTTCTTTCTAATCAACAAGGTTCAGATTCTTTATTTACAAGAACTTATGTTCCATTTACCATATATCTCATAGTTCAAAACCCATATCCCTAAAGTCTCCATTGTAGGATGTAAAACAAACCAAGTTATTCGAGCTCAACTCGTGTCTGACTTGTTACAAGCTCATTTGAGTTCAAATTGTTACATGAACAAGTCAAAGTTGAACACAGTTTGAAGTTTGTTAATTTTTTTAGTTCGGCTTGATTAGCTTGTGTACCAAGAAGTATGTGACATGGAAATTTTTAAAAAATATTAGACATGACACATGTCATAATTAAAGATAAATAATTATCATATGAATATTTTGGTCAAAGATAATAATTTTAAAAATCTAAAGCAGTACAACATGTATAAATTTACATTGTTCTTGTTTTATCATTAGATTCGAAGTTATTTTGTTCAAATTTGTAATATGTTTTGTGTCTAAATCTTGGGAAGTATCGTCGTGTCGTGGTGGTATCCAACATATTGTTGGACACTACATATTGCCTTCTTAGAAGTGTCCGTGTTTCTTAGCTTGTATACATTATAAAAAACAATATACTCAAGCTCAGCTTGTGATCAACTTGATTGAAGCTCGTTTGAGGTTGATTTAAAAAGTAAACAAATCAAACTTGAAACATTTTGCACTTCATTAAGTTTTCAAATCAAACATGAACAATCAACGTTTTGACCTCTTTTATTGTAGGTCCTACTTTGTTGTCATTCAGTAGTTCACAACTCTTTGGAAGTCCCATGATGAACTCTGCTTGGGCTGAAACTGTCAATGCTGAGAATAGTACTCTCCCATATAACAGCAACCAATGCTTAAACTACATCGACCGACATGACAATTTTCTGGGATCTTTACCTCACAGCTTTGGAGGAGGAAACCAGTTCAAAATCTTTCATGGGAACAACCTCCCCGACCTCTCTGAAGCCTCCACGTGTCAACCGCTTCTCGATCCCAGTTCTGCATCCGGAACCAGTAGCCACAGCCAGAAAATAATGTTCTCTGATGGATTAAGTCGAGCCATTGTTGAATCTGACTGTGCTCTCTCTCTTCTGTCATCAGCGCCGCCAGCTGAAACTCGGGAGATTGGTTTGGGCCATGTGGTGCAGCCCAACCCTGGTTCCTCTGCCCAATCCTTGGCCCACAATATGCACTACTGTGATCTAAGTCAGTACTCACAAGGGATAGAAAGTAAGCCATTAGCTTCTTTTCTCAGCTCTCATGCTGGTGACAACGCGGATCTCCATCGCCCGGGAATGTTTCAGGATGGGCCTGATGGGCCGTCTGATAGTGGGCCGCACCAAACACTCTCATTCAGATGGGAGTAGTTTGTTTCTGGTGGGCCTTGTTTGTCGTCAAATGGATCAAAGTTGTTAAATTACGTAATTGCCCAATTACTTTTTGTAAAAACTATGGTGGGAAAGAATGTATTGCCTCCCAAATTGTGAAATTTCTCGTTATTTTGTTGTTGCTTTTGTTTTCGTGGAATGATGAACAAGAGGTTTCGAATACTGTTTTGTTAATGTAACAATGAAGTGAGAACACCATCATTGAGAGGGGGGTCTGAGTTGGAGTAGGCTGTGAGAGATTCTCTCTCTTGGAGTCACAAATTTAAAATGCGTCAAATTAATAGCGAGTGGGTTGAATAGTTCTCAAACTACCAAATGTCTTATAATTGGCTATTTGTCACCTTCACCTTATTACTATTTTTTGTCAAAAGTTCAAAGAAAATTTTATTTCTTGTGATATTTTTTGTAGGGCTACCCGGAAAACTCCACTGAAAGGATATAGTGTGACAATTGTAACTTATCTTTGCGGGTAATTTGTTTAAAGTGATAGGTCTCAATTCAATCATGTCATTTTATGTATAGTATCTGTTTTATTTTATTTTTTAGGGCCATAATTGAATATGCTTCCTAAGCAATCAGAATAATCATTGTCTAGGAACACTCTTATGGTTTGCAAACTCTTTAGGGTTTCAAATACACTAAAAATATGCCCAGTTGTAAGTAGCCCTAACTACAAATGGCCTATGGGCTCACATCATCAACAACCGAATTGGGCCTTATCTCTTGAGGCTTGTATGGAAATATGAAGTATGGAACCTAATTTTTTTCTTAATTTTTTCCTTTATTTTTGGGGATAATCCAAATTAATCTAAAGCCCCATAAATCCGCACGAGTAGCCTAGTAGCAAACTTGTTGGATCTTGTCATGAACAGTAAACCTGAACCATCTAGGTTTCACACTTGTTGGTGTGTTTAAACTTAACTTAATCGATAATTATGAATTACAGGTGATTGCAGGTATTCAGAATTTATTCTATAAGAGAGTATGTCCTCCCTCTCCCCCTCTCTCTCTCTCTCTCTCTCTCTCTCTATAGAAAGGGAATATCATCGAAAAATAAAGATTGTACAAGAACTCAACAATTAGGGTGTATGAAGTTATGAACCAGACATTAAGAAGGTGTTTGGGATAATCTAAATAAATATACTTTTTGACTTTTTACGAAAATATATACAAAAAAGTAGAGAGGTGATATGATCCAAAAAAATAAAATAAAATAAAACGATAAAAAAGTACACTTTTGTAAGGGAATGCCAAATAAATAGTGCCTAAGTTTGAGGAGTTTTTTTTTTTTTGAATATTCTAAAATAAAAAAAAAATATATATATATAGAGAATTGACCAACTTTTCAAACTATTTGAGAAAGTGACCCAGTTTTGAAATCGCATTTTGAACATACATTTTCAAATTGAAATTGCATTTTTAACATGCAATTTTAACTTGAAGTTGCATGTTGAAAATGCGATTTCAAGTTTACATGGACAGATTTGAAGTCTAAGTTTGAAGTCTACATGGATAATGACTTGTTGATGTAGTTTGAAATTGTATGTTGAAAATATAATTTCAACTACAGATTTTAGAATTCAAAATCGCTTCATTCAGATGATACACATCTCTGATCTCTATCACGAGAGAGAGCTCCTCCCTTTAACTCCAACGCCCGACTCTCTTAGCTCCTTCCCTTCACTTCGACGCCGTACTCTGTCCTTCTCTTGACTCTGATGCCCAACTCCTGTGTCTCTCTATATTTCATCTCATTCGACGAAGGACAACTTAAGAGGTAATCTGGTATATATATATATATATATATTTGTATATTGAGTATATATATATATCTTGTATATATATTAGCCCTTATATATATTAGGGCTTTGGATTTAGGGCTTTGTTTTTTTTTTTTTTTTTTTTTTTTGAACGCCATGTTCAATTGGGCCTATAGTATTTGGGCTTTTTTTTTAATATCTAAAACACAAAATTATATTTGGGACCCCCTATTTTTAGCCCAAATTTGGGGGCTCAAGGCACAAGCCTCTCTTGCCTGCCCTCAGGGTCGAACATGGTTAAGGGATGCATATAGTACATTAAGTTCTTTTCCATTTCGAGGTGTACCTATTCTCTCTTTTAGGCCTATACTAAGCATGATATCTTGTTTTTGAAAACATATGCGTTCTTATTCCGGTTAATTAGCTAGAATTACTATGTGATGCGCACAACACACAAGTATAGACTAGATCGCCTAATTTGGAACAAAGCATTGAATTTTCATTTGTTTGAAAATGGTTTGAAGTTTGCTACTCGCGAGTAGGCTAAAATGCGGATTTCAATGAATTGTCCCAATTCAAGTAATCCAACTTTCACCCATAGGCATTTAGGCAGTTATATCACATAAGCAATTAGCCTCATGGCAAGCATGCTGTCATGTTAACACTCACACACATGCAAGATTCTAGAGCGTAAACACTCACAGTGTACTCCGTGTCAAAACAAGAAACTACTTAGAAATCATGTATGATCCTAGTTTATGTTTAAAATGGCTAATGCATCGCATGCAAAATGCAACTAGAAATAGGCTCGACTATTCTAAGATGACATATGAGATGCGACAACTCGATACATGTATTCAAGTAGGAATTGAAATACAATGCAGTTAGTATGATGCGCTGAGCCCGGTGCATGCAATACAGATGAATGGTGCAAACATGCATAACATAAGGATGTTAATTAGAATATGCCCTAGAACTAACCATCGCAAGCGGTTAAGTAAAAGGGAGAAAGAAATGGGGGTTGGAAGACATGCATCACACACATGCACGCTTATTACAACAATTGGTCTTCTCGACCGAGGAACCGAAAGAATAATACAAATCATCTAATTAACTAACTAACAAGCTAATTAATTATTTACACAACCAAGTCGAAATAAATAACTATTCTAAGTTATTAAAACACTGAAATGGCCTCGAGACGAGAGATGAATGCATGTTCAGACGGCTTCGCTCGGAAATCCATCGCCATGCTTCATGTTGCCTCTGTTTGAACTGCTCTGTACCTCTGAAAATTGTGCCAACTTCTGTGACACTTCTGAATCATCTTGTGTACATTGTGGGAGGTCATCGACCAAGGAATAGGGCCATCGGCCATGGAAAATTGGTTATTGACCAAATATAAGGCTCTCGGCCAAATGCTGTTAGCCGATCGACACTGAATATGGTTGATCGACCATCTCTTCCTATGAAAAGCTCCTGTTACTGTAGCAGATGACAAACAGAGCATGGCAATACATTTACAAGACAATGTCTGCACAACTACACCCTTTATCGTGTTTAAGACTCAAAGGTGTGTAGTTCTCCACCCTCGGACCACCAATCATGCATTTCAATGCATGATGGCCAAAGGAGCCAAGTGTGCAATTCAATATCAAATGAAATGCACAAAACATATAAAGGGGCCCCAACCTCTATCATGCTTGATCAAGAGGCAAGGGAATGCACATACAATGCAATACAACCTAAGCATGCAAGCAAGCATGCAAGTAACTCAAGCATGCAACAAGTATGCAACTAGATCATGCAATGCATCTAATATGCAATAGGCATACAACCTAAATATGCAAACATGCGTAACATGCAACAACATGCGAAATAGCAAGCATGTAACTACATGCAAAGGTGGACTTAAACTAAAGTGGACAGCTCTTAAACATGCCCATAATCAGTGGCCAAAAATGCTACGAAAATGAAGACAAAGGTACATACAACTATGCATGCCAATTGCTTATCACCTAAGCATAGGAGAGCAACTTTCAAGAATACTTAAAAGAGGACAAACATGGACATGTGACATACATTGTAAGCTCTGAAATCATGTTAGGAAAGGTGCCAAACCAACCAAACAAAGCAAGCAAGTCATGCAAAAAGGCTTAAAGCTTGGAACTAGCCAAGGGAATCAAACCATGGCCATGCAAAACATGAAGCAAATGGAAAGTATAATCCAAAACAGTCCTAGATCATGCCAAAATGAGCCTAAAACATGCAAGGACCAAAGCCAAAATAAGCTAGGACAAAGGGCTGAAAGCATGAGGCATGCAAGGCTACAAAAGAGGTGTTACACTACACCTATCAAAACCAAACATGGCATGACTTAAGCAATGAAAAACAGAGTTATGGCATGGTAAAACAAGACCAAAAATCCACTTAGATGGCATCCCAAAGACCTAAACATGATGGCACACACAATGACCCATTCACGAGGCATAAAACATCAACTCTTTAAAGCATTAAAGAAGTGACAAGTGCACGTGTTTGAGCATGAAACATGGACTGAAATAACATAACAAATGATTCCAAATCACTGAAATGGCCCAAGTAAAGCATGCTAGTGACTTGGACACTCAAAGCTAGTATGCTAAAATGATATGTTAAAGCATGAGACACATTAAGCTATTTCGTGGAAATGCACTACAAGTGCATGGAGCATGCAAGGAGCTATGAAACCAAACCCTAACAGAGGTATGACATGGTAAAACAAGCCCAAGAACATGCTGAAATGGACACAACATAGGCTAGAATGACATGCTACTTCATGAAGCATACCAAGCTAGTGTGTGTGATTTACACTACAAGTGTATAAACCATGTATGGAATGACCAAGACAAGCAAAAACAGTGGTGAGCCTCAGCAAAATAGCCACAAATACATGCTAAAATATGGCCAACATGAACCTAACAAACATGCTCACACATGAGGCATATTAAGGCAAATATTGAAAACACAAGGAGAGGGGATAACCCTCTCATTTTTGGGACCTTAAAACACCATCCCCACCACTGAAATCCCTCTGATTTCAGTGGTGGGAAGGCCGAAACAAGGTGATCCCAAGGCTTAAAAAGAAGGCACGAGAATAAGGCCAAACAAGGCCTAAGAGGGGGTAAACAACCCCAAACCAAAAAGTGACCTTAAATAAAGGTCTAAAGCTTGTAAAATCAGAACTTTTATCAGTTAAGAGTTAAGCTTAAAACAATAAGCAAAAAGGTCTAAAAGCTTAAGCAAGAAAGGGATATTAAAAGCAAGAATGCTCACCCTTGAAGATCACTTTCATGAACAAAGCTCCAGTAGGTTTTCCAAGCTCAAACCAACCCAAGAACTCTGAAATCAACCTCAAGAGACCTCAACTCCAAGAGGATGGTGTTCTAGTGTGTGTTTGTGTACAATAGTAAGACAATACTACACTTTTGAACACAAAATAAGAACAAACAAGAGAATATAGATACAAAACTATATGTATCACTCAAGACTCAATTTTCTGAACCTTTGAGGAGGAAGGAGATGGTTCTCTCTTATAGAAAACCAAAAGCAAAGCTTCTTCAGGAAGCTAAGCAAAGGGGCAAATCCCTCCATACACGTGTATGGAGGGGGTGAATTGTGCATGCCAGCTGTCACAGCTTGCATAAAATATCTGCATAAAGCAGATGAACAGGGTTCGGCCAGAAAACATGGCCGATCGACCAACATAAGGGCCGACCGACCAAAAAGAGTGCCGATCGGCCAATACTTTTGGACGATGGCAAGAAAACAAGGCCGATGGTTTCATGCCTTGGCCGATGGGTTGAGGGGATGGCCAACAAGCCACCCTCTTCCCTAAGGAGCAAAAACACAAGTCCTTGGTCCATAACCAAGCACAAAACAGACAAGTTGAGAGATCTTGAGGCAAGGCGCGCGGCTAAGACCTCTGGGAACTCAAAACGAACACAAACATGGATGATCATCGAGTGTTCAAACGATGACGTCCAAGTCTTGAGGACGGTAAAAAATGGGGTGTCTACATAAGCCGTCTGAACCTTTTAATCCAACAAAGTGGTAACTATAAAATGTAACCAGAAAAAAAAAACCCCATTATCATACATTAACACAACACAAGATCAATGATATTATCATGAATTTATGATCTGGGTACAAACTTGGTGGCATAGACCCAATCGTTGTTAGCCACAGGATTGTCAAGGTGGTCCAACAGGTTCTCAAGTGGGCCTTTACTAGTGACAATAGCTTGGACAAAGAACCCAAACGTTGAGAACATGGCTAGCCTACCATTCCTGATTTCTTTCACCTTGAGCTCGGCAAAGGTGACTGCGTCATCGGCAAGGCCCAGTGGGTCAAAGTATTGTCCACCAGGGTACAGGTTGTTTCCCTCTTCGACTCTAGGAAGGCCGTTAATGCGGAACATCCCCTCAACCCATCGGCCAAGGCCGATGGTTTCATGCCTTGGCCGATGGGTTGAGGGGATGGCCAACAAGCCACCCTCTTCCTTAAGGAGCAAAAACACAAGTCTTTGGTCCATAACCAAGCACAAAATAGACAAGTTGAGAGATCTTGAGGCAAGGCACGCGGCCAAGACCTCTAGGAACTCAAAACGAACACGAACATGGATGATCATCGAGTGTTCAAACGATGACGTCCAAGTCTTGAGGACGGTAAAAAATGGGGTGTCTACACAAGCCGTCTGAACCTTTTAATCCAACAAAGTGGTAACTATAAAATGTACCCAGAAAAAAAAAAACCCCATTATCATACATTAACACAACATAAGATCAATGATATTATCATGAATTTATGATCTGGGTACAAACTTGGTGGCATAGACCCAATCGTTGTTAGCCACAGGATTGTCAAGGTAGTCCAACAGGTTCTCAAGTGGGCCTTTACTAGTGACAATAGCTTGGACAAAGAACCCAAACGTTGAGAACATGGCTAGCCTACCATTCCTGATTTCTTTCACCTTGAGCTCGGCAAAGGTGACTGCGTCATCGGCAAGGCCCAGTGGGTCAAAGTATTGTCCACCAGGGTACAGGTTGTTTCCCTCTTCGACTCTAGGAAGGCCGTTAATGCGGAAGCCCTCAACGAGGCCCATTAGAACCACTTGGACGCCCAAAACTGCCAGGATGCTTTGGGCGTGGACAAGATTTGGGTTGCCCAAGTAGTGTAGGCCACTTTCGGAGAAGATTTGGGCTCCAGATTTGAACGAAACAGGCTTTTTGAAGTCCACTTTGACCCATTTTTCAAGGACTTCTGGGGTGATGCAACCTAGGGCTCGCAACATGGCCCATCTTCTGTGGATGACCTGAAAGTTCAGTAACAATTATGTTATGGTCTATTTGGCTCTTAGGAAACAAAAAAGAGAAGGGATTTCCTTAAAAAAAAAAAGAAAAAAAAACTTATATTTCATTCATTTTTTCCCTGCTATTGAAAAAACGTTCCACGTTTAGATTATTAGGATATAGGAGAGGGGATGTTTTTAACTTCCAAGTTTAGATTATTAGCTTAAAGTTGCACCAAAGGGAATTATAGTAGTTATTTGTTTATATTTTTGGTAAATAAGGTAGAGAATGCCAATGTACTTTGCATTTTCTAGTTGATTCATTTCATAACCAAACTTTCAGGTTCAATGAAGAAATTAAAAAGTAGATTAGCAGATTTACCTCAAGAGCCCTGTTCCTAGACTTTTGGCTGTTTTGATTAGTATGGGTTTAAAAATTGTGTAATGTTAAATGGATTTTTGGTTTGTCAGATTAGTTTGCTTATTGGGAATGAGTTCTTCTGTTTCATTTGAACATTTCTTGGTTGTTCATTGTGAAATGGATTTTTTGATTCTTAATTTTAATGATTTGTAGTTATGTTTTTTATGATTGTGATTTTGTTTTGTAGGGCTTTTGTGCTTAATCCTTAGTTATTTTTAGATGGGTTATGTTATGAATCTGATTCTGTTATGATTTTGATTTATTGTTATGTTTTTTTTATTTTATTTTTGATTCTGTTATGATTTTGATTCTGTTATGTTCATTTGTGTGACTATGAATTGTTATGTTTATTCTTTTATGTTCATTTTGAGTCTGTTACTGTCGTCGATGTTATTTCAGTTGTGATCATTTAAATTTAAACCTTGATTCGTATGATTTAATGAGGATAACTTGTTTTTTTAGATGTCAATGGCAGTAGCTTAGAATGGTTGACATACTTGAACAAAAATTGTCCAAGATGTAATAAAAAGGCCAGTATTCAAATTTCTAAGACCGATCGAAACAAAAACAAGTTATTCTACTCTTGTAATAACTGTGGTAGTTTTGTTGGATTGTGCTTGCCTATGAATTCACAATCTAGAGGTCATGAAATTTCAAGACAAGTAGAAGGAGAACTACCAACTAGCATTGAACAACTTCGAGCTATGACCGAACAACAAAGATGTATGATAGAACAATTTCGAATTCAGAGCGCAAAGATGAAAAAAATGGAATTTGTGTTGTTTGTGTTGCTTGTAATTGGTGCCTTATTACTTATGATGTAATATATATATATATATATATATATGCAAGTTAGAAGTAGAGGTAGAAGTAGAAATAGAGTGAACACTATTGTATGGTACTGTGATGTTTTACAGTGAATTATGTTTTGTTGTGTATATATATATGTTTTGTTGTGTTTTTACATGAATATTAGACTGGTGTTCATGATGAGGACAATACGATATATAAGCTTGAGCTTCAGCTAGACCTTTAAATTGAAGCACCTTAGCAACTTATATTTTTTCTTTTTTCCCCCTCTTTCCAGTGAACTTTAGTGAGTGTTGTGGTTCTATCTAAGTTTGGGTTTTCACCGTGTTCTTTGATTTATGGTAGAACTAAATTAAATCAGTCATAATTTCCCTTAAGTATGACACTTTATTCTCCTAATTCTATGGAGAGACCTCTCTTTACTTCCTCCTGGAATGATTATGTTTGAACTTTGTGGAGTTTTTACCATTCACTAATTTTTTTCCCCTATAATAATTGTTCCTTGCTTAATCCTTATTCTCTGTTACTTTTTTTTTTCTTCTTCAGATCACTGTTTCTAATTTAAATCCTGACATAGTCATGGTTGGTTTATTATACAAATATAAAGTCTGTTAAAAGTCCAAACAATAATTATTCTATATTTTTGGATGTTCTACAATAAGTTCATAATATCACAGAACACATAGATGTAAAATGTGTTCACTCAGAACACAAAACATTACTCATAAATTTGCACTTAATTTGGGACACAGAACACATGTATATAAAATGTGTTTTGAGGAACACATTTATAAGATTATTGAACATAGAAATGTTTGTTTGACTCGCCATTGCAAGAGAGATAACCCATAAATGAAATAATAATAATAATAATAATAATATGTACAGACATATCAGAGAGTTTGATCAGTGTATGTATGTATGAAAATGAGAGAGAGAGAGAGAGAATGAGGGGTTTTGGAGTACATTACTTATAAAACTACGATTAGGACCCTTAATAGTTACATAGACAAATATTAGACAGAAAATGTGACAAACTCATTACCGAAAGACTTAGTTTAACACACACACTACATAATTATGGAGAACCTAATATAATTTAGTACAAACATAGACACCTAATTAGTGCTTAAATCGATAATCTCACAGTCCGAATAATCCGAAAGTTCAGGGTTAGAGACAAGTGCAGGATCCTCCATGATAGCCTTGATAGACGCAGTATTTGGTTCTGTTCCACTCTTCTGGGCATCCTTCTTAATTATATATAGTTACATATCGCGGGCTAACCTATGGTGCATTTGAGAAATCTCATGTTGTAGTCTTTCACATAGCCGATCAACATTATCAGGATCTTCCTTTTGGATCTCAACAGAGCATGTTTTCGGCACCTTAAGTCGATTTTCCCGACTTAAGGTTTCCATTTGTACTTGCTCTATAAATAGTGCGGGCCACTTGAGAAGAGCAGTGTCAGCTAAACCATATCCTGTTTGATTGTCAGATGGATCCATACATGAACCTCCTTGAACTGGATAATACTTGGGCATCATAAAATGTCGCTTCCCAAACCTATCACAATAATCACAAGCATAATCTAAAAAAGGTTTTGTTGTTTCGTCTTCAGTATCGCCACGTCCCCTTCTCCTTCCCCTTCCCCCTCCTTCTCGTGAACTCTCACCTTTTTGCAAGTTCCTACCACCTCTGCGATTCACACTCCCTCCCATGAATCGTGTAGCCATGTGATTTTTTCTTAAAGAAATCAATGATAATAAAGGAGGGTGAACTAAGTTGTAAGGGTGTGTCTTGACCTTCACTCCTTTATATAGTTGTTTATGAATGTCATTGCCATGTGCTCGTATTCATGTCACTTAGAAATGATGACATGACACATATCCCATATTCCAACACAACGATGAGAAAGACACTGTAAGAAAAAAACAAAGAAAATAAATGCCTATGTAGGAAGTTACATGACATGACAATCCCATATATACCAACAAGAGATGAGTTCTCATTGTAAGGAACAAACAGAGGGAAGAAAAGCTATTGCACAAAGTCACATGACATGCAAGCCATCTGTATATACCAACAATAGACGAGTTGTCACTGTAAGGAAAAAACAAAGAAAATTAACGCCTCTGCCCAAAGTCACTATTGCCATGTGACTTTGTGAATTTAATAAAAATAGAGAGGGGTGTTAGAAAGGAAACTATAATTTCGGGAAACATAACTCACTCGCATTTTCGAAGTGACTACTTATTGTAACAAAGAAACATAACTCTGTCCGAAGTTACAATAACCATGTCAATGGAGCATGTCATTGTGGAATGAGGGGTGTCTGAAACATCACAAACCATTATAGCATTTTATCTTCTACCCTCCTCTATTTGATTTTAGGATTGAATTTATAATTTCTTGTAAACACCATTTGCTACCCGCGATATCGTCACTTCAAAGTGACTACTCACTGTAGCAAAAAAGCACACAGGCGTTCGACGTTTACTGTGCCCATGTGAACTTGACCAACTCGTAGGGGGATGAATTTATTAAGTCTGTTAAAAGTCACTGCGTCACTGAGTAATTTTGTATGACTTGACAAATCACTGCATGTTGACAAGTCAGGAACCATTATAGCATTTTATCTTTCCAAATATTACAATTAAAATTTAAATTTGAATACAGTTTGACCTTATATTGTGTAACAACTCCAATATTTGTCTAGTATTCAAATATCGTGAACAAGTTAAATAAATATTTCATATTGCCTGATGCCATATCGTATCAGCTTAATGCTGATTAATCAATGATGGGATCTCCTCCGGTAAATGAGTTATAGACCTGCACAAGTTTTCATATATGAAATCGATATCCAATAACAAAGAATTTCACTAAATGGCATACATATGCTGACAGTGGAAGAATACGAATTGCAACAATATCACGGGTATACAAACTACAAAAAGTCACCACCAACAATTTCGAAGGGTTACATCAAATGAATGCGTTAAAATAATATCACGAGTGTGTGTTCTTCCACAGTAACCCCTCACATGACATCTCTTCTGCATGTTTATAAATAATAGTACCCCAACTATGATCATTTTCCAACCCATCTCAATAGTTATTTACAACCCATCTATTTAATTTAATTTTCATGTATACGAGAAATGTCTTCAAGGGGTACAGGCAGTTCACGCCGTTAAAAGCCTTCCAAAAGTGTGGCTACTACCTCCATTTAATTATGACTACATGACCGAAAAATACTCTAGCCCGAAGGATTATTACGCTAGTATTCGGGCAGAATGGGCGTTCAGGTTAACGGAGCAAGAGAGCTTGTTTAATGATCTGCGTAACTTAGGGACATCGGTATCTCATCATCGTTCATTGAACATGCCTAGACGAAATATGGGTGACTATGAGCAAGTAGTTAACAGAATTAAAAAGGAGAACAACAGAATATTGCTGCGGAGATGTCGACATTTCATGCTTCAACTAGTCATTGAAATGACGGAAGCAAGCAACAAAGAATTGATTGTGACGGAGCGAAATAATGTCTTAAACAATGGAAAATATCTCTTTGACTATTACATGTCAGCTGAGGAATGACAAATCAAACATTTAAGTGGTCTTTTTTAATATGTGTGCATGTCGTGTCGGGTCTATGTTGTTGGTGTGTAAGGCACTGTTGTTGTTCAACTACGTTGTTAAACGTCCATTGCACTATGTGTTATTGTTTTATGAAGCTTAAGTTTATGAAAAGTTTACATTTATGTGTGAACACATGTAAACATGACCTGTACATTTCTCTTTGCATTGGTAACTCGTGGATAGCCATTACAGTGTATCTTATATATTTTCGTCATACATCCAACCAAGTTCATTCATTATCATCATTATCAATTAGTATGACAATGTCAGGTTGGTATATTTTTTTTTGAAATAATGTTCCATAATCAATTTCAGGGAAGCAAAAATAAAATGTTTACATTATAGCGAGCAAACGTATGAGCTTTGCTGAACAACCACATAACCATGAAAGTATAGACCAATTTAATTTGTCAATTATGGATGTAAATCAAAAAATAAAATAATAAACAGTTACAAAGGGCATTAGAAGGGGCATATGCCACATGATGATTTTTACAATAATGCAAGAGAGATAATGTTGT